TTCATCTCAGTTTAAGATTGTCATTGTAAAAAGTGACTATCCATCTCAATTTTTTCAATGATATAAGTAAGATCTCGATTTATTAGTGTTGTATATAGTCACTACTTTTGTATGTGTGTGTGTGTGTGTGTATATATGCATTATTCATAATGTAAACCCTACACTAAAATGCATAAAATGTCATCAAATAGCTCTTTTAGACGAATCAACGATGGTTCACCTTCACGCAACCAATGTCAAAATTTGTATTTGCAAAATGACCCCCAGATCTCGACGCCAACACCAATGTTGAGGTGCATACAATCATCATAGTTTGTTGTCGGTCATTCTACCATCTTATGGAAACTGTACAAATTCCAGTGGTATAACATGATATGGACAATTGCATAACTTTCACAATGAGCTGATCGACACTCATAATCCTTTGACACACGTTGGTCATGTGATTATAGGGTTTGCAACCAATATTTAGCTTTTACAATTCTATTACCAACTGTGCGTGCAAGATCCTGCACAATATAAAGAATGAGAACAGATCTCTCCCTTGGTGAACTTCAAGTGAGCCGGTTGAATGACCAAACACGCTGCTTGGGACAGCCTGTAAGGTACGGTGGTAACCTGGAACGGCAACGGGAGACCCTGGGAAAGGAAGAACGATCATGTGAGGCTGAAAGGGGTTCCTGGAACAAAGAAGAACAAGTTAGAAGGGCGCCAGAGTGTTTTTCGGCGTATCCCCTCCGACGGTCTAGTCAGTCTTTGAGTGAGAGAGAGGAAGTAGAAAACACTGAGAAAAATGTATTGTAGTCGAGAGTTTTTTATTGCATACGCGCTTTGCCTTTTGCAAGGAGTATTTATACCTTAAAAGCTCATGATTGCTGTCAGTGTCGTCAGTAAGTGATCATTAAGGCTCAGGTAGCGTATGCATTGATTCTGATGAGGAATGTCTTCTTTAATTAACTGCTCGGGGTCCCGAGCAATCAATGCTGGATCGTCGGGATGCCGATGGTACAGTGTGCTCCTCTCGGGGAGGATGCAATAAATGCTCTGTAATAGGAGCATTTATTGCCTTTCATTTCCGAGCCTTACCGCATTGAATGCGGTCTCATCAAGGGAATGGTGCAATTAATTGTTTGTTTTCCCAAGTCGCGTGTCAGCAACGACATGCGGTTTGTCTGTCTCTGATGTGATATCATATGCCACGCGTCCATCCCCTATTGGCTGTGACCTCTGTATTCCAGTACGTTCTGACATTACTTGTGTAAGATGAGGTCATGATGAATAGCCTAGACTAGCCTAGGCTAATGACCTGCACGTCAATAGCTTATCCTAGAATAGAGGAAGCGTCCAGGACGGGGTACCTCTCGGCACCGAGGAAAGGCTGATCTCGAGGACCGAGGGAGTTATGCCGACCAAGGTACGTATCTGACCGAGGACACGTGTCGGTTGTAAAATATACTGAATGTATGATCCTACATGACGGTACCTCGGGGGCGAGGGCATTCGTACGCCGATGGTGCTTGATCCTAGCAACAGTGTTTTAGTAAACCGAGGACACGTGTCTTCATTATAGGGTATTTCAGAAAAGTCTCATCACTAACTACCAGGACTCTATTACCAACTCCCATGACCAAGATGAAGGAAATCTTATTTCAAACTTTGAGAGCTTAAAGTATATTGTCGTTAGCTTAGATTATGAGTGTCAAAAGCATGTTCAACCGTTATGTACATGACATGAAAATCAAGCAATTATGATGATATCATAGCAAGATTTGAACGTAAGAATGATCAAATGCAATGATGATTAAATCGATTTCATTCAATTAAATAGGCAAAATAAAGCATTCAGATCCTAACGAAGCTATTAATGAAATTATGGGGGATCTATTACTAACTTCTGATCATGAACTTTTTGACTTTAATGATTCAAGTGATGATGATTTTGAAAAAAAGTTCCTTGCTAGTTTGTACGCACATGACAAACCACTATTTTGTGGTAACATGGTCCTCATTAGAAAATATATGTTGTTGCGTTAAAGCCGATAGTGGAAATTTGTGTGAATGTTTGTAAAACTATCTTGAAAAAAACTAAGTAAAAAAAAGTTGGCGTTATTGTAAAACATCGGTTCAAATTCATTAGGTTTGTTTTGAAAATTGGAGTCCAACCGAAGTTTTTACAAAGACATCAGTTGGTATGACATGTTTTAGAATTCCAAGGTTTGCATTGAAGGCGTTAATTAAAGTAATGTTTTTAAGCCAAACACGTAAGTCCAATTGATTTTTTTAAGCAAAAGACATTAATTAGACTGAAGTTTTTAAAAATTACCCGAATTGAGAAATATTTTCAAAACAGTGTGAGTTTGGGAATATTTTTTCCTATCTACCTGATTAAAAAACTCTTATAGTAGCACATCCCAAAATTACACAGATTGAAGTAAATAAGAATCCAAAAGTAATGCCACAGATGAAGGGGGGGTTGGTTGACCTCATCAATCACAGTATCTTGTCCTTTATACTCCCTCCCAAATTGGAAAGGAGAACGGTGAAAGCAAAGTGACCAACATGTACTTAAAGATGAAGCTGGAAGCAAAGCAACCAAGATGTTAGCTTGAAACAAATAGGCTGAATCTAAAAGTAACCTAGGCTTTCTCCGGAAGCTCTCTACTGTAATTTATTTGGTGCAATATAACAGCCGCCAATGGCTCTTTCTACCTCTTTTGGAGGGTGGTTTTTAATTTTGATCAATTCAATCTCTAGGTCTACCATCTTATATTTATATTTAGAATTAATTGTATTAAAAGTCTCTATGGAGTTTGTCTCATTTTGATCATCAATATTTCAATTGCATTATTTTAGTCGTTAAAATATTGAATATATTTCTATGTGGTCTCTGAAGCAGACAACGTCTAGATTGGTAACGATTTTTTTATTATAAATTTGTCACGTAATATCTAAATATGAGAAAAAAAATTAATTTGTATAACACTTAGACCAAATTTTTACCCAAATTTTGGTCAAAGAGTTACCCAAATTACACAGTTTTTTTATTATGAGTTATGCAAATTTTGGTCAAGAGCAATCCAAAAAATTTTTTTTGTCTATATTTAGGTATCACATGACAAATTTATGATAAAAAATTGTTAATAATTTAGATATTGTTTGCTTGAGGGACCATATAAAAACATATTCAACGCTACAGGAATCAAAATGATGCAATTGAATATTGAAGATCATAATAAGACAAACTCTATACTTTTAAGACTTCCAGTGCAATTAATCCTTATATTTATATGAACAATGTTATTGTAACATAATTTATTAACTTAATTTAATAATCTAATTAACTATAATCATTAAATTGACTATGAAACCCATCAAAAATTAAAATTTGGTGTTAATCCAACAGTTACAATAAAATCACGCCATTAAATTTTTAAGTTCCAATAACATTACTTTATTTATATATAATATTATTCATATCATCGAGTTGAATTTAGAGATGTTTCGGTTCAATTCCCGAACCCAATACCTCAACCTGAATGTCATAAAATATAATTTGTATTTCAATTTTTTTGTTCAACCCCAATCCGAATATTGATATCTCTATTTAATTTTACAAATTGGATTGGGATTACCTATCCAAGTTGCACCCCTAACCTAGTGCACCCAAAATTGTATTTGAATGCAATGGAATGTGACCGAGTAACCACATCAATGCAAAGTGGCTTCAATACAGTTGAATTTCCAAACAAAAGCAGCTATTACATACATTAGGCGAAAGTTCACAAACGTAAGTACAAATAGGTTCCCCACCAACCAATCCTCCCACAAGCAACTCCGAATTCAAGCTCTTCGTCTCCTTTGCTGTAGTCCTCTTAATCCCATTTCTGCACCAACAGCAATGAACATAATCAATGGCATAGTATACTCATGACGGATCTAGATCTTCTCCTATATATATATTTTTTTTCAAACTTTGCTTAATATCAAATCATTCACTACATACCATTGAAAAAGATTGAGAAAAATAAAGCAACATTGACTAAAAACTTATTGGAGGAATCTCACACCCACTTAAATCTACCAAATACTTGCACACCCCACAACCGACACAAACGTAGCACGTTTGGATTTAATCATAATGGATTCAGATCACAATTTGAGAGTTAATTGTAACGAGTTCAGGTTCTAAATGGATTAACCCATCATATTAAATCAATAAATTTGTTGGCACAAATTTAATCACAAACGACATAAAGCTGATTATGCACGACTATAAATAGGTTTGCTTGGTTTGAGTAAATCTTGATACAGAATGACTTACACTATCCATGAGCACACTATTGACACAACCCATTGTAGCTCTACTCCCACTGAGATGATAAAATTTTCGGTGCACATCACTTATAAAATATCGAACATTCCCAATCAATTGTTGCCATTTATAAAATTGTCACGATTAAGAATTAAAATTTTGTTTCGGTGCATTGTTTTGGTCACATAGAGAACGGAAACATTTCGACGTGTTTCGAAAACATTTCAATGCGTCTCGGAAACAAAATGAAAAGAATAAAAAATTTAGAACTTATTTTTCCAAAACATTAGTCAAAATATATCAAAATATCTTGAAATGCCTTGAAACATCCCGAAATAATTGTGCAAATGTATTGAAACATTATAAAACACCTCGAAGAATAAGAATTTTCGATTCTATCATTGATTCGTTTCAATCTCCTTGAAAACGTAAGCGTTTCATATGTTTTGAAACAAAATTTTGATCCTTTGCCACATTTGTTTTTGAAAAAAATCAAATGTGTGTTTGACAACAAAATATGAATGCCATATAACCTCTATGCACCGAATATTTTTTCCATGGAGATGGTAGAGGCATAGAATGCATCCTAAAAGAACTAAAAACATTGCAAATCAACTAACCTTAAGAGTCTTGAACACAAGAAAAGGAAAAGCAATGTTTAGATTAAGACACAAACCTTATGATGGATTTAGACAGAGGGGTCAATAAGATCCCCATTCACAAACTCTCTGTAGGCAGCAACGGGCCAGCTGAACCCTCTGAAAAGAAGACTTGATGCCAATGGCACATCAATGATGATCTCCTTCTGTGTTGGTTTCTTCTCATCCCTGATGGCAATCAGATAGCTTCTGCCAACCCACCCAATCCATCCCGCGATGTAGAGGAATAAAATTCCTGGGGTGATGAACTCTCCCCAGTGTCTTTGATCCCCACTCACAATCAAGTGAGGGAGACCGTCTGATCCGCATAGCAAACCTTGTTTCCCATAGTTATCAAACCTATACCAGAGTGACAAATTCAGTATTGGGTAGTCACAGTTGGGGATATTTGGAAAAATTCAAAGAAACTGTGGCAATGGCTTAACAAAGTTTAGGACCAACTATGGTGGCAATTTGATGTATATATTGTAGTTCATTTGAGTCTCTAATGTTTCAGTTGAATCAGTTTGGTCTCTACTATATTGAATTTGAATTGATGTGGTCCCTGAGTCCAATGCGTTCAAATTTCCGACAACATTAGAGTATGGTCACATAAGAAGGACGTGAGCTAATATTTTCAGAAATTCGAGTTTTGAAATTCAAATTCGATACTTCAGAGACTAAATTAAAACATCGCAACTAAAATAATACACAAGCAAACATTGGGGACTGCATCTATAGCTAAAACTAAAACTTTTGTAGGGGTGGTTGCCCTCCTCAGGTCTGGCTCCTCTATTGTTAATATAAAACGACGTTGTTCTAATCAACAGGTACCTCTGCTGCTAATTTTTTAACAGGAGAGGATTCTCGCTGACCACTTCTGATTCCTCCTAGATCTATAGTTGAGTACATGATAATTCACCACTCTGATGTTGATACATGATGACATCTAGGGACTATTAAATGCAAATTCAGTTGAAATTCATATGTAATTCGTTACAATTCAGCTTAACTGAGTTATTCGGATTTGAACATTAAACAAAATATTTGAAAAGTATTTATTAGAATGGACCTGCGTTTGGTCTTTTCCACGGTGGCTTTGATAGCCAGTGCCGGAGCACTATCAGGAGCATAGTTTTTCAGTGATGACTCGAGCTTCTTGATCTGCTGTTTCTCTCGCTTAGCGAACTGCTTGGACTCCTTGCACGGCGTCAGGCCCGCTATGTCGGCCGACGCCGGTAGTACAGGAGCCGAGAGGAGGATGGAGGAGAGTGCTAGAGCAGCTGAGAATGCCTTGAGTGGCGATGCATTGGATGACTGCTCCGAAGTTGATGTGTTCTGGTTAGGAGAAGCTGAGCATACAATGCTTGCAAGCCTTGGTTTTGTGGTGAACTGAGAACTCAACTTGGGTTTTACGATGGAGTTGGAAAGGTTTGTGGGTATTGTGAGTGACATTTTTTCCCCTGTATTGGAGAGAGAAGGGGGGGGGGGGTCTGGAAGGAAAAGGGTGGAGCGATGGGATTTAGACTTGGGAGAGGAGAGATAGGTGGAGAACAGGAGAAGTGTGGAGGAGTGTGGAGGAGAGAGGATAAGGTGGAAATGAGTAAGGCAGGCTGAGTTGGATGTTTATGATTGGGTGGGGGTGTACGGTTTGCGGTTTGCGAGATTCTCCATCTATCTATGTATGAAATTACATAAGGATAGGATAAGAGATACTTGCTGGGATCTACAGCCTTTCTAATTCTTTTTTAAATCATTCATTTATTTATTTATAATATAAAGCGATGTTTTAATAAATTTATTTGATAGTCTCAAATATATTTATTTTATGGTTATTAATATTTCTTTAAAAATCATTTACATTGCATGTGTCTTTTAGTCACGAGTTATCACTAGTTTATAATATAAAACATGAGAGATTTCAATAAGCATATTCGACGATTTCAAATAAACTCATTCAATTGTTACCAATATCTCTGTCAAAACCATTTATATTAAATTCTCTCTCAAATCCATCATTTTTCACTTGTCTTCATGCACGAATTATCCTAATTATAAATATGGTAAAAATTTGTTTATATAAAATGGATCCCATTTTATTTTACCATAGGTGATCTGCTAAGAATAAAAAGTAGGAAAATTTTCAGTCACACTTTTTTTCGTATACCATATTTTTAAGGACACTCTTTCTATTTTTTAAATTTTAACTGACAACTCTGTCAGATTAAAGTTATTAATTAGAATACAATTTTACTAAATTGTCCATGATGTATTTTAAAAAGAAATTCATCCACACCCTCTCTTGACAGGCATATATTCAATTAGACCTCCTCTATTTTATAAATTTTTTTACATTTAAAATTCGATTTCAACTAATTAAAATTTATTTTTTACATATTAAAATTCGAATTGATTAAAAATTATATTTTTTTTAAGTATTAAAATTGAGCAGATTAAAATTATATTCGAGCCTATTAAAAATAATTTTTAAACTGTTCGAACCAAATTTTAATAACCTCACATTGAATTCATCATGAATTTTTTTCTCCTTTCTCTTCTTGTCGCATTTTCTACTAAGAATTTAATTGGACTCACTCTACATAAGCAGAATTCCTACTCATTAACAATTGATGATCTGTTTAAAATATATATATATATATATATATATATTCGAGAAAATATAAATTCGTGTATCGTAACTAAGTGTTGTTTTGAACCAACACAAGTGTCAAAACAATCATATCAACACATCACTTAGTCTCTATCTAAGCATTTCTTGCATATATTCCAGAGTCGAATAGTAATCAATACTTATAAAAGTAGCCAATGAATTAAACCACAAAAGGTAGCTCAAGTGATAAAATTATAAAAATTATGACACAAAGTGTAATTAATCTTTCAGGATGTAAATNTAGAAAACACTGAGAAAAATGTATTGTAGTCGAGAGTTTTTTATTGCATACGCGCTTTGCCTTTTGCAAGGAGTATTTATACCTTAAAAGCTCATGATTGCTGTCAGTGNAAGTGTTGTTTTGAACCAACACAAGTGTCAAAACAATCATATCAACACATCACTTAGTCTCTATCTAAGCATTTCTTGCATATATTCCAGAGTCGAATAGTAATCAATACTTATAAAAGTAGCCAATGAATTAAACCACAAAAGGTAGCTCAAGTGATAAAATTATAAAAATTATGACACAAAGTGTAATTAATCTTTCAGGATGTAAATTAAGGCACAAAATGTATTTCACCCAATGTCACTATATGCTCTTTTCATTATTTTTCTAAAACCTCTAAACTTTCATGGCACTTAGATGGGTGATGCAAATTATTTTGATGGAAACATCATCTGACAATTTTCACCCTCTTAACACATCATGTTTCAAGCNAGGCTCAGGTAGCGTATGCATTGATTCTGATGAGGAATGTCTTCTTTAATTAACTGCTCGGGGTCCCGAGCAATCAATGCTGGATCGTCGGGATGCCGATGGTNATGAATTCCAAGAACACAAGTATTACCCTTTTCACCTCTCATAATCACAAAGAAAACTAGAATTTTTCTTTTACATTGTCACTTGACATAGGAAACAATCGTGAAAATTTTCTGNGTCAATATTTCAATTGCATTATTTTAGTTGTTAAAATATTGAATATATTTCTATGTGGTCTCTGAAGCAGACAACGTCTAGATTGATAACGATTTTTTTATTATAAATTTGTCACGTAATACCTAAATATGAGAAAAAAATTAATTTGTATAACACTTAGACCAAATTTTTACCCAAATTTTGGTCAAAGAGTTACCNCACCCAGCTCCTGTTGAACGTTGAAAAACCTAATTCTGCATATCCAGTAAAATGTCAGAGAAGCGGAGATAAAACCATCTTAGACCCCGAACACGCTCAAGCTCTTCATCATGTCCCATTGTAGCCTGGTTTTCAAACTTTTGAAATACATCATCTTAGGCATGGTCACCGTGTAACCAACCAACCCGGCTTAAACATTATATCTTGCTTGAAGTCACGACCAGTGACGGAAGTNGAAATATATTCAACGCTACAGGAATCAAAATTATGCAATTGAATATTGAAAATCAAAATAAGACAACTCTATACTTTTAAGACTTCCAGTGCAATTAATCCTTATATTTATATGAACAATGTTATTGTGACATAATTTATTAATTTAATTTATTAATCTAATTCACTATAGTCATTAGATTGACTATGAGACCCATCAAATATTAAAATTTGGTGTTAATCCAACAGTTACAATAAAACCACGCCATTAAATCAAATTTTTTAAGTTCCAATAACATTACTTTATTTATATATAATATTATTCATATCATCGAGTTGAATTTAGAGATGTTTCGGTTCAATTCCCGAACCCAATACCTCAACCTGAATGTCATAAAATATAATTTGTATTTCAATTTTTTTGTTCAACCCCAATCCGAATATTGATATCTCTATTTAATTTTACAAATTGGATTGGGATTACCTATCCAAGTTGCACCCCTAACCTAGTGCACCCAAAATTGTATTTGAATGCAATGGAATGTGACCGAGTAACCACATCAATGCAAAGTGGCTTCAATACAGTTGAATTTCCAAACAAAAGCAGCTATTACATACATTAGGCGAAAGTTCACAAACGTAAGTACAAATAGGTTCCCCACCAACCAATCCTCCCACAAGCAACTCCGAATTCAAGCTCTTCGTCTCCTTTGCTGTAGTCCTCTTAATCCCATTTCTGCACCAACAGCAATGAACATAATCAATGGCATAGTATACTCATGACGGATCTAGATCTTCTCCTATATATATATTTTTTTTCAAACTTTGCTTAATATCAAATCATTCACTACATACCATTGAAAAAGATTGAGAAAAATAAAGCAACATTGACTAAAAACTTATTGGAGGAATCTCACACCCACTTAAATCTACCAAATACTTGCACACCCCACAACCGACACAAACGTAGCACGTTTGGATTTAATCATAATGGATTCAGATCACAATTTGAGAGTTAATTGTAACGAGTTTAGGTTCTAAATGGATTAACCCATCATATTAAATCAATAAATTTGTTGGCACAAATTTAATCACAAACGACATAAAGCTGATTATGCACGACTATAAATAGGTTTGCTTGGTTTGAGTAAATCTTGATACAGAATGACTTACACTATCCATGAGCACACTATTGACACAACCCATTGTAGCTCTACTCCCACTGAGATGATAAAATTTTCGGTGCACATCACTTATAAAATATCGAACATTCCCAATCAATTGTTGCCATTTATAAAATTGTCACGATTAAGAATTAAAATTTTGTTTCGGTGCATTGTTTTGGTCACATAGAGAACGGAAACATTTCGACGTGTTTCGAAAACGTTTCAATGCGTCTTGGAAACAAAATGAAAAGAATAAAAAATTTAGAACTTATTTTTTCAAAACATTAGTCAAAATATATCAAAATATCTTGAAATGCCTTGAAACATCCCGAAATAATTGTGCAAATGTATTGAAACATTATAAAACACCTCGAAGAATAAGAATTTTCGATTCTATCATTGATTCGTTTCAATCTCCTTGAAAACGTAAGCGTTTCATATGTTTTGAAACAAAATTTTGATCCTTTGCCACATTTGTTTTTGAAAAAAATCAAATGTGTGTTTGACAACTAAATATGAATGCCATATAACCTCTATGCACCGAATATTTTTTCCATGGAGATGGTAGAGGCATAGAATGCATCCTAAAAGAACTAAAAACATTGCAAATCAACTAACCTTAAGAGTCTTGAACACAAGAAAAGGAAAAGCAATGTTTAGATTAAGACACANAAAACATATTCAACGCTACAGGAATCAAAATGATGCAATTGAATATTGAAGATCATAATAAGACAAACTCTATACTTTTAAGACTTCCAGTGCAATTAATCCTTATATTTATATGAACAATGTTATTGTAACATAATTTATTAACTTAATTTAATAATCTAATTAACTATAATCATTAAATTGACTATGAAACCCATCAAAAATTAAAATTTGGTGTTAATCCAACAGTTACAATAAAATCACGCCATTAAATTTTTAAGTTCCAATAACATTACTTTATTTATATATAATATTATTCATATCATCGAGTTGAATTTAGAGATGTTTCGGTTCAATTCCCGAACCCAATACCTCAACCTGAATGTCATAAAATATAATTTGTATTTCAATTTTTTTGTTCAAGCCCAATCCGAATATTGATATCTCTATTTAATTTTACAAATTGGATTGGGATTACCTATCCAAGTTGCACCCCTAACCTAGTGCACCCAAAATTGTATTTGAATGCAATGGAATGTGACCGAGTAACCACATCAATGCAAAGTGGCTTCAATACAGTTGAATTTCCAAACAAAAGCAGCTATTACATACATTAGGCGAAAGTTCACAAACGTAAGTACAAATAGGTTCCCCATCAACCAATCCTCCCACAAGCAACTCCCAATTCAAGCTCTTCGTCTCCTTTGCTGTAGTCCTCTTAATCCCATTTCTGCACCAACAGCAATGAACATAATCAATGGCATAGTATACTTGTGACGGATCCAGATCTTCTCCTATATATATATATTTTTTTTTTCAAATTTTGCCTAATATCAAATCAGTCGCTATATACCATTGAAAAAGATTGAGAAAAATAAAGCAACATCGACTAAAAACTTATTGGAGGAATCTCACACCCACTTAAATCTAGCAAATACTTGCACACCCCACAACCGACACAAACGCAGCACGTTTGGATTTAATCATAATGGATTCAGATCACAATTTGAGAGTTAATTGTAACGAGTTCAGGTTCTAAATGGATTAACCCATCATATTAAATCAATAAATTTGTTGGCACAAATTTAATCACAAACGACATAAAGCTGATTATGCACGACTATAAATAGGTTTGCTTGGTTTGAGTAAATCTTGATACAGAATGACTTACACTATCCATGAGCACACTATTGACACAACCCATTGTAGCTCTACTCCCACTGAGATGATAAAATTTTCGGTGCACATCACTTATAAAATATCGAACATTCCCAATCAATTGTTGCCATTTATAAAATTGTCACGATTAAGAATTAAAATTTTGTTTCGGTGCATTGTTTTGGTCACATAGAGAACGGAAACATTTCGACGTGTTTCGAAAACATTTCAATGCGTCTCGGAAACAAAATGAAAAGAATAAAAAATTTAGAACTTATTTTTCCAAAACATTAGTCAAAATATATCAAAATATCTTGAAATGCCTTGAAACATTCCGAAATAATTGTGCAAATGTATTGAAACATTATAAAACACCTCGAAGAATAAGAATTTTCGATTCTATCATTGATTCGTTTCAATCTCCTTGAAAACGTAAGCGTTTCATATGTTTTGAAACAAAATTTTGATCCTTTGCCACATTTGTTTTTGAAAAAAATCAAATGTGTGTTTGACAACTAAATATGAATGCCATATAACCTCTATGCACCGAATATTTTTTCCATGGAGATGGTAGAGGCATAGAATGCATCCTAAAAGAACTAAAAACATTGCAAATCAACTAACCTTAAGAGTCTTGAACACAAGAAAAGGAAAAGCAATGTTTAGATTAAGACACAAACCTTATGATGGATTTAGACAGAGGGGTCAATAAGATCCCCATTCACAAACTCTCTGTAGGCAGCAACGGGCCAGCTGAACCCTCTGAAAAGAAGACTTGATGCCAATGGCACATCAATGATGATCTCCTTCTGTGTTGGTTTCTTCTCATCCCTGATGGCAATCAGATAGCTTCTGCCAACCCACCCAATCCATCCCGCGATGTAGAGGAATAAAATTCCTGGGGTGATGAACTCTCCCCAGTGTCTTTGATCCCCACTCACAATCAAGTGAGGGAGACCGTCTGATCCGCATAGCAAACCTTGTTTCCCATAGTTATCAAACCTATACCAGAGTGACAAATTCAGTATTGGGTAGTCACAGTTGGGGATATTTGGAAAAATTCAAAGAAACTGTGGCAATGGCTTAACAAAGTTTAGGACCAACTATGGTGGCAATTTGATGTATATATTGTAGTTCATTTGAGTCTCTAATGTTTCAGTTGAATCAGTTTGGTCTCTACTATATTGAATTTGAATTGATGTGGTCCCTGAGTCCAATGCGTTCAAATTTCCGACAACATTAGAGTATGGTCACATAAGAAGGACGTGAGCTAATATTTTCAGAAATTCGAGTTTTGAAATTCAAATTCGATACTTCAGAGACTAAATTAAAACATCGCAACTAAAATAATACACAAGCAAACATTGGGGACTGCATCTATAGCTAAAACTAAAACTTTTGTAGGGGTGGTTGCCCTCCTCAGGTCTGGCTCCTCTATTGTTAATATAAAACGACGTTGTTCTAATCAACAGGTACCTCTGCTGCTAATTTTTTAACAGGAGAGGATTCTCGCTGACCACTTCTGATTCCTCCTAGATCTATAGTTGAGTACATGATAATTCACCACTCTGATGTTGATACATGATGACATCTAGGGACTATTAAATGCAAATTCAGTTGAAATTCATANCATGACGGATCTAGATCTTCTCCTATATATATATTTTTTTTCAAACTTTGCTTAATATCAAATCATTCACTACATACCATTGAAAAAGATTGAGAAAAATAAAGCAACATTGACTAAAAACTTATTGGAGGAATCTCACACCCACTTAAATCTACCAAATACTTGCACACCCCACAACCGACACAAACGTAGCACGTTTGGATTTAATCATAATGGATTCAGATCACAATTTGAGAGTTAATTGTAACGAGTTTAGGTTCTAAATGGATTAACCCATCATATTAAATCAATAAATTTGTTGGCACAAATTTNTATGTAATTCGTTACAATTCAGCTTAACTGAGTTATTCGGATTTGAACATTAAACAAAATATTTGAAAAATATTTATTAGAATGGACCTGCGTTTGGTCTTTTCCACGGTGGCTTTGATAGCCAGTGCCGGAGCACTATCAGGAGCATAGTTTTTCAGTGATGACTCGAGCTTCTTGATCTGCTGTTTCTCTCGCTTAGCGAACTGCTTGGACTCCTTGCACGGCGTCAGGCCCGCTATGTCGGCCGACGCCGGTAGGACAGGAGCCGAGAGGAGGATGGAGGAGAGTGCTAGAGCAGCTGAGAATGCCTTGAGTGGCGATGCATTGGATGACTGCTCCGAAGTTGATGTGTTCTGGTTAGGAGAAGCTGAGCATACAATGCTTGCAAGCCTTGGTTTTGTGGTGAACTGAGAACTCAACTTGGGTTTTACGATGGAGTTGGAAAGGTTTGTGGGTATTGTGAGTGACATTTTTTCCCCTGTATTGGAGAGAGAAGGGGGGGGGGGGTCTGGAAGGAAAAGGGTGGAGCGATGGGATTTAGACTTGGGAGAGGAGAGATAGGTGGAGAACAGGAGAAGTGTGGAGGAGTGTGGAGGAGAGAGGATAAGGTGGAAATGAGTAAGGCAGGCTGAGTTGGATGTTTATGATTGGGTGGGGGTGTACGGTTTGCGGTTTGCGAGATTCTCCATCTATCTATGTATGAAATTACATAAGGATAGGATAAGAGATACTTGCTGGGATCTACAGCCTTTCTAATTCTTTTTTAAATCATTCATTTATTTATTTATAATATAAAGCGATGTTTTAATAAATTTATTTGATAGTTTCAAATATATTTATTTTATAATTATTAATATTCTTTTAAAAATCATTTACATTGCACGTGTCTTTTAGTCACAAGTTATCACTAGTTTATAATATAAAACATGAGAGATTTCGATAAGCATATTCGACGATTTCAAATAAACTCATTCAATTGTTACCAATATCTCTGTTAAAACCATTTATATTAAATTCTCTCTCAAATCCATCATTTTTCACTTGTCTTCACGCACGAATTATCCTAATTATAAATATGGTAAAAATTTGTTTATATAAAATGGATCCCATTTTATTTTACCATAGGTGATCTGCTAAGAATAAAAAGTAAGAAAATTTTCAGCCACACTTTTTTTCGTATACCATATTTTTAAGGACACTCTTTCTATTTTTTAAATTTTAACTGACAACTCTGTCAGATTAAAGTTATTAATTAGAATACAATTGTACTAAATTGTCCATGATGTATTTTAAAAAGAAATTCATCCACACCCTCTCTTGACAGGCATATATTCAATTAGACCTCCTCTATTTTATAAATTTTTTTACATTTAAAATTCGATTTCAACTAATTAAAATTTATTTTTTACATATTAAAATTCGAATTGATTAAAAATTATATATTTTTTTAAGTATTAAAATTGAGCAGATTAAAATTATATTCGAGCCTATTAAAAATAATTTTTAAACTGCTCGAACCAAATTTTAATTACCTCACATTGAATTCGTCATGAATTTTTTTCTCCTTTCTCTTCTTGTCGCATTTTCTACTAAGAATTTAATTGGACTCACTCTACATAAGCAGAAGTTCTACTCATTAACAATCGGTGATCTGTTCAAAAAAAATATATATATATTCGAGAAAATATAAATTCGTGTATCGTAACTAAGTGTTGTTTTGTACCAACATAAGTGTCAAAACAATCATATCAACACATCACTTAGTCTCTATATTTAATCCTTAGTCTATCTAACATTTCTTGCATATATTCCAGAGTCGAATAGTAATAAATACTTATAAAAGTAGCCAATGAATTAAACCACAAAAGGTAGCTCAAGTGATAAAATTATAAAAATTATGGCACAAAGTGTAATTAATCTTTCAGGATGTAAATTAAGGCACAAAATGTATTTCACCCAATGGCACTATATGCTCTTTTCATTATTTTTCTAAAACCTCTAAACTTTCATGGCACTTAGATGGGTGATGCAAATTATTTTGATGGAAACATCATCTGACAATTTTCACCCTCTTAACACATCATGTTTCAAGCTGGAGAGATGAATTCCAAGAACACAAGTATTACCCTTTTCACCTCTCATAATCACAAGGAAAATTAGAATTTTTCTTTTACATTGTCACTTGACATAGGAAACAATCGTGAAAATTTTCTGTTAATCTGTCATAAAATAATACAGTCAGCTGCCATTTCACATTATACAACATGCTAATCAAGCAAAACAAAAGAGCAATCCTGGCACATTCTCTCTCTCTCTCTCTCTCTCTCTCTCTACCACACGAAGGCGGAACAAAGCCACCCAGGTCCTGTTGAACGTTGAAAAACCTAATTCTGCATATCCAGTAAAATGTCAGAGAAGCGGAGATAAAACCATCTTAGACCCCGAACACGCTCAAGCTCTTCATCATGTCCCATTGTAGCCTGGTTTTCAAACTTTTGAAATACATCATCTTAGGCATGGTCACCGTGTAACCAACCAACCCGGCTTAAACATTATATCTTGCTTGAAGTCACGACCAGTGACGGAAGTCGACTCACCCTGACGACGGAAACACTGCACAAGAAATGGGTGTGCTAGTAAGATCGGTTTCTAACACAATATATTCATTGGTCTGCAATTTCTTTTCCTCAATCTACCAATGACCACATACAGACTTATCACATATTGTAGCAAAGCTTTTTAGTTGATTATTTTCAAATAAAAGAGAATCTGTTGAAAACAAAAGGGAGAAAAGTTCTGCTTGTTGAGGAGAAAACAAAAGGATGTCCCTAATATATTGCAAATTTCATCTGCGCAGCCTAAGTAGTCATTTTAATTCATATAGCAATAACTATTGGACTTACTTTTTTGGTTAATCATTATCAGACTTCCGCAGCAACCTATAACACTACTGAAGTTACCAGAATATAATCAGGGAGCAACACTAAAAGAGATGTAAAATCACAAACCTTGTAACAAACTATGGTATCGTCTGGGTACATTGCAAATAGTTTTGTTCCAAGCCGAGAATGACAGGAATCACAAAGGCTCTCATCATTGATTTGCACATGCCGCGACCTTTCCTCAAATCTTGCCAAGCTTGAATCAATGTCTACAGCGCGAAATAAATTATGCACAATCTGAAACATAAAATAAAATTGAGAAATTAGAATGCCTTGCAACAGCAAAAGGCTAAAAAGAACGCGGATAAAAACTCTTAACTGCAACTTGCCTAAGGATACGTTTTAAGCATAGAGAAAAAAAAGAGAAGAAAACAACCCCACCCCAAAGAAACATCAGACTGAAACCTAATGCATCCCATGTTACCCATGTTACTGATTCTATCTCCGCATTTTTACCCAAGTGCTATAACAGCCTTGGCAATTTAGTGAGAATAAAACAATCCATTTTTGAAGTGACTAGTCACTAGTGTATTCCAAGTTTATAAGGTTACACTGTGTTGAAAGGAACGGAAGAAACTAAGCCTAACAAGTAGGACTGTATGAATAAACCCCTAATATTTCTCATAGAATTAGGCAGTCATGTCATCTAGGTCGACATCACAACCCAACGCTTGAAAAGCTTCCCTAATGCACAATCCCACATATCTGATAGATGGTGTCCAAGTCCTTTCTAGGTGGCCAAATTCTTCAACATGCAGTCTCTTCTGCTCTGGCTGGTCCTTGGCAGAATAGCTGATCTTATTTCAAATAACAGAAAGTCTACAACACATTCCAATGGATGGTTACACCAAACTAAACATGGATATGGTATATCTATATAATACGATAGCTAGCTTTTTGAACTTATGGGGTATATTTTTCCCCCAAAATTGCACATACCCATCACACACTTTTCCCCCTAAATTTCACAAACTCAACTCACACACTCATTATATATACACACACTCATTATACATATACACTCTAGCTGTACATACACTCCGACACGCACAGTTTCATAGCTTAGTATATAGTGACTTCAGTCACGGGTGTCGCTAGTATGTATATAAATCTGGAAGGATATGTATATCAAACATTTAAATCTACATCAATAGATCTATATTATGTACTTCTCATTCACTCGTCAACTCTTGATTCATATTGTCATAAGATTCCATCTAGAAAGAGTTTTCGTGGATGTGGGCTATAAATTCAAGACCTTAACTTCATGGTTTCTAAAAAATGAGGAAAACAACAATTGTTCTTGAAACAATCATTAACTAGTAATCAATAAATAGTGTCCTCAGCTTCCATCTGTAATGAGTTTTGATGGATCTTGGTAAAAAAGTAGACCTTGACTTCAAGGTTTCTAAAAAAGAAGAAAAAGATGATTCTTCTAATAATTCTTGAAATCAATGACAATAACAATAAGAGTTGAGTCGCTAAGGGGCTCCTCGGGGCCTAGGCGAGAGCGAGGGCTTAATTAAAGTGAGGCAACTGTTATAAATCACAAGCAAATATTTTATCATTGACAAATCTTTCAAGTAAGGAATAAAAATTTCATGTCACAACTAAACATTGAAAAATATAAGACATCTGGGTTTCCAACCTTTCAAATACTAAACAGTACAATCAATTCACACTGAAGTTATAATGCAGAGAAACTAACATATAACCAGTCCTTAAAATCACATAACCAGAAAGTAGAAGGGTCTTAGGAAACATAATCGAAAGCAGAAATCTCTCAGCTTAAAAAATAAGAAAAAAATTAAGAAAAAATGTGATAAAAGGGCCAAGGGAACAATTAAAAAAAAAGGTCTCTCTTGGTCATGTCGCAAATCACTGGGTTTGCAGCTATAATCCACCAATCAGTAAAAAAGAGGAAGACAAGGTATCAGACATGCATGGAAGCATGTAATAGATGAACACGGAGGGGAGAAATAGTCACCAAAGAGAGAAAATGGTAACTAGCCTGTGCCTCAAGTAAGTTTCACCCATACATTACGCCAAATATATTAGGTTTAAGGTATTTATGCCTAATCAAAATATTTCAAGACGACACACAAGAAAAAAAAACCAGCGCTTCAACACCTTGAGATTAATCCCCCAAAGCATGCATGAACCTCGCGTTAGCAAAGTCGCTTCGCCTGCGATCAATTGAGGCAAAAAGGGTGTGTCGGGAGTCGCCTTAAGCTAGGCGTAGGCGTGACTTTTACAACACTATATCCATATATAGTAAGAAGCACTAAACATGGCTATATAACATACTTGTACGTAGAATATTATGTTTGTCAACTATTGACAACCATATAGCTAAAGAAGAATCTACAAAACTAAGATCAAATACAAATTGAATGAGGAAAGGTGTCACTGATAAATTTCTACATTGTAAATGTAATGCCACCTAAACTTGAGCAGCCATTACCCCTAAGAAGATTTGACTGGTCGTGAGCATGGGTGTGGGTGATAAAAGAGGGTCTTGAAGGCTGAAAAGTGCATGCTTTAAATCACTGAACCAAGTTTTTAATTTTATGCTGCAACGGCCAAAAATGCTCCTAAGAGGTGGCCAAGGCCGCAGGGCTTAGGTTGCTAACTCAAATAATTGAAGTTGCCACTAGTAGGGCTTGAAGAATGAGAAAGGCTTGAAAATTAACAGGAATTAAAACTGTAAATTCATTATAATATGCAAATGCTTGCATGAATTACCTCTTGAATTAAAATGATGGAAAAAAGGTTTAAATCAAGAGAACGTACTTGTCCTTGACGATGATGATGGAGACGAGCTCTCAACATCCTTAGTATTGTATCTGAAGCAAGTTGGAGGGGCATATCTGGGGACAATCTCTGGAAATAAAAACGTCAATTTAATAGCAAATATAGTGTAGAACCCAAAACCATGCATAACAGCCTTCATGTTAAACAACCAGAATAGTACACTCAAAATACCAAAAACAAATATTCTCTTAAGTTTTCCCTTTTATAGCATTGCAGGACCAGAAAAAAGAAAGGAGGTCGTTGTTACCCATAAGTGTGTGGGTGTCTGACATGAATAATACAGTAATTACTTGCCTGTGAACATAATGAGCTTTAGAGTTTCATTGTGACTCATACGCATTGAAAACTATGAATCCTTTACAAGAAGAAATATGAAATCCCAACAGCCTCTTAGTTGTAGGTTGATATACCTTCTGTTCTGACCTCTACAGCAGTTAATTGAGCTAGATTTTGAGCAAAATTGACAAATAATGAAATGTCATCTGAAAGGAGGGGAAGAGGCAAACATGACATTAAAATGAAGAAACCTCCTAAACACTTCTCATTATTGGCTTCNCAAATTTCTACATTGTAAATGTAATGCCACCTAAACTTGAGCAGCCATTACCCCTAAGAAGATTTGACTGGGCGTGAGCATTGGCGTGGGTGATAAAAGAGGGTCTTGAAGGCTGAAAAGCGCATGCTTTAAATCACTGAACCAAGTTTTTAATTTTATGCTGCAACGGCCAAAAATGCTCCTAAGAGGTGGCCAAGGCCGCAGGGCTTAGGTTGCTAACTCAAATAATTGAAGTTGCCACTAGTAGGGCTTGAAGAATGAGAAAGGCTTGAAAGTTAACAGGAATTAAAACTGTAAATTCATTATAATATGCAAATGCTTGCATGAATTACCTCTTGAATTAAAATGATGGAAAAAAGGTTTAAATCAAGAGAACGTACTTGTCCTTGACGATGATGATGGAGACGAGCTCTCAACATCCTTAGTATTGTATCTGAAGCAAGTTGGAGGGGCATATCTGGGGACAATCTCTGGAAATAAAAACGTCAATTTAATAGCAAATATAGTGTAGAACCCAAAACCATGCATAACAGCCTTCATGTTAAACAACCAGAATAGTACACTCAAAATACCAAAAACAAATATTCTCTTAAGTTTTCCCTTTTATAGCATTGCAGGACCAGAAAAAAGAAAGGAGGTCGTTGTTACCCATAAGTGTGTGGGTGTCTGACATGAATAATACAGTAATTACTTGCCTGTGAACATAATGAGCTTTAGAGTTTCATTGTGACTCATACGCATTGAAAACTATGAATCCTTTACAAGAAGAAATATGAAATCCCAACAGCCTCTTAGTTGTAGGTTGATATACCTTCTGTTCTGACCTCTACAGCAGTTAATTGAGCTAGATTTTGAGCAAAATTGACAAATAATGAAATGTCATCTGAAAGGAGGGGAAGAGGCAAACATGACATTAAAATGAAGAAACCTCCTAAACACTTCTCATTATTGGCTTCAAACTCAAAATCGAACTTTGGGTAAGCAGTGAGTTTGAGAGTTGACTACTAATGCGATGTGAACACAGTTCCAAATTCATTTTGTCAATCAAAGGAGAAACTTCAAAAGACAAACATTTGTTTAGCTTTAGCTTCCTTATCCTCACATCTCTATGATCAACTGTGGTCACAGTTTCCAAACTATCAGCAGAGTTGTTTAAAATAAAGTTAAAACTCAGGGAGCAACTATCAAAAACCAAACGTATGTATAAAGATGCACACGAGAGAAAGGGAGGGAGTTCCTGATATTTGTGGTTTGGAGGTGGGGGCGGGGATGGGGGTGGACAAAAGAGTCTGATACCTCAAGAACTTGCAAAGGATCCAGGGATTCTCCATGATTGTGAAGAAGGCGAACTGCAGCTTTAAACATGGGCTCCTTGCCATCCTTCGGATCCAAGTACATTTCAAGCAACCTGAGGAAGTAAAACCTCAACAGTAGAGATAAAGAAAGAAAATAAAGATTAATTTACACATAGTTGTTGAGAGAGGGTTGCGGAGAGAGGGGTGAGTAACTGCATATAGACATCTGGTCTACCAATCTCTGCACAATATTGTTCAGCAGCCTCACTATCCTCCAGCTTCCTGAAAAAAACATTGGACCATAGTGAGTGTCCAACTATTAAAAAAAACATAAATAGTGAATATCCAACTTCTCAATACCCCATATATTCTATGTTATGCTTTTATTGCTCCTAACCTCAGGGTTATTTAACCATATGAAATACCAGACAAGGTACTCCAAAACACCAAGAAATTAGATGTAATTTACTCAAACTATCCTATGTTGGCGCTATCTCAAACCATTAAAAATACACTTGCCACACAATTGGAGCCAACAATCTTCCAAATATGAAAGGCTTGGCATTTAAATGAAAAGCAAGATTGAAATTTTTTCCTTTTTGTTTTCATCTGATGATAAAAGTCTCAGACGATTTTTGTTCACAACAAGAAGAAAACTTGATTTAAACTTACAGTGCCAAGATTTGGAGTACTAGTGTCTCTTGTCCTAGTTTCCTGTAAAGAATAGCCTGTCACAAAATGCAAGAATAAGCATCAGTGTAGTGAAATGGTGCAGCAAAAGGAACCCAGGATAAATAAGTAAAATCTAGGGCAACGTAGGTAATAGGAAATTCCAAGATGGACCTTTTCCAACCACAGTTCTGATCCTTCAATCAGGTCAAGGACCTCCTCTGGATCATACAAGTCTGAAGACTGCAAAAAAATCTGCAATCTTTCTCTAACAAGACTTTGAAAGATTGAATCCCTTCTAGAATCTGAAATATCCTTCCCATCTAGAAAATGGCCTTCAGATTTTTGAGAGGCACCTTTTGTTTCAGAAGTTTCAAGGGATGATTTGGCAAGCAAGAGAGCATATGTTGTATGGAACAGTGTATCATCAGAGTCTTGATCCTCAATCAACCATTGCAGATATCTGTTCAGATAAGGTGGCTAGAGTTATATTGATAACTTTTATTGTTGGGGGTACAATACTAAAAGCATAATGAAAGATAACTTTGATTAATACATCTCTATGGGACCAAAGACATGATCAAATATCAAGAAACACTTGAACTGGTTGTGTGAGTTACCCAAGCCACTGCATCTTTTTCTTTTTGTAGGTAGCAACATCCCACTTCTTTTGTTAGTCATTTTTATGCAAGAAGAGCATGCCTGCTCAACACAAACTGGCAGACAAAACTAATGCCATACCAAATCAAGACCCAAAAAGGGCACACTATGTGGTAGTGTACATATGATTTTTTATTTTTATTTTTTTGTATTCCTTTATCTTTATCCTAGCAGGAGCCAGCCATCAAACCTTCAGCGTTAAATCAAAATAGTTGAGACTTGAGACCTATGAAGCACGGATATTGATACGGGAAACGGCAAAACCTAAAAAAAAAAGATACGGATACAAATACTGCTAGGATACCTCCATAAAATATATTTTTTTTAAATTTTATTATTATATTTAATATAATAATTATGATTTATAAAGTGAATCACATATTTATCAAAGATATATAATAANCGAGACTTGAGACCTATGAAGCACGGATATTGATACGGGAAACGGAAAAACCTAAAAAAAAGAAGATACGGATACAAATACTGCTAGGATACCTCCATAAAATATATTTTTTTAAAATTTTATTATTATATTTAATATAATAATTATGATTTATAAAGTGAATCACATATTTATCAAAGATATATAATAATAACTAATAAAGCCCAAACATATTTGCTTTGGTGGCCCTATTCTTTCTAAAAAATTCAAGTAATACCCCGCCGTATCCCCGACGTATCTGAAATTCAAATTTATTTTTTTTAATTCTAGGACACTTCTTACCCGTATCGGACACGTATTTGTATCCGGAAAGTATCTGATACCGATACTTTGACCTTTTTGAAGTATCCGTGCTTCATAGCTTGAGACAAAGAAAGAAACAACCTTTGCTCAAGTTTTCCCATATAATTATCTATTTTTTGATTCAGTAAATGACCAAAAAACTATTAAGGCCATCGAAATAGAATATAGACCTTAAAATATGTGGCGGTCAGGAATATTATGAAAACTTCTCCAGATATAATTATATCACTAATGAAATTCTAAACAAGTAAGGAACCTACCTTTGAAGGATTTCCACCTTTTTTGGATCAATTGCAGCAATTACGTCATCTGTCATGGAAGTATATATTAGGAGATATCAACCAGCAATTGAAGCTAATTTTTCCAACAAAAAAGTAATGACAACTCATGGACATTTCAAAAACTACTCATCAGTTAAATGATGTTAAGAGTCTTACACCAGAAGGTGGTGTAAATTAGAATTTACAAACCAATGCTGACACTCAGCGTAGCATCAGTCTTGTTTGTAGCATCGATCTTATCATTCCATAAGGACCATAACATATGAAAAAAGTACTTTAGAAATAAGATATTTTATGCACAGAATAGAAAAAACAATATTCCAGCAAGAGGCAAGAAATAAGATCAAACTTCAGTATTATAGTATCGGAGTATCCTTCGAGCATTGTGCAGCCTAGATCGTTATGACCACCTGGATGGAGTTACGTGCTATTTAGATAGATGGATTGATCAATTACTCTCTCGGTTATGAATCCTTTGAACTCCAGAGACATTTGGATCAACCATGTTCAAAATGGATGGATATATTCACTTTACTTAAGCATTGGAATGATTTATTCTTCCATTGGACCAATCAAATGAATAGATATAATTCCCAAACAAATCGAACAATTTTACCCAAAATGCTTCAAAAACTATTGCTATTGATCATTGTACACTTTCCAAGCCTCTGATATTGCTTCTTTACTTGCAACATTTTACAACTCAACCAGTTTCCAACTCTATAAATTTAGCCACGGAGTTAACTAGCACCAAACTAGACTTAAAATAAGATGTCTGATTTTTGAACATTTTAACTTAAGAAACAAAAATTTAAGAAGTCTACATAATCACTAATTGCATCTCCTTCTTTTGTATTATTTTATGATCTTTATTTAGCCACTACATTTAGAATTAAAAAAAAAGGCGGAAATAGCCTCTCCACATGCAGGGTGTGCAAATCTAAGCCTTCCCAAATCCTAAAGTGGTAGTACACACTATTACCTTTCTTTTAGGTGCGGGGTTCTAGTGGTTGTTTCCCCTACTTTAAGGAAAAGTGGTTGAATAAGGAAGGCAACAATTACTCTTCAACAGACAAATCAAGATATCATTTGCTCTGGAAGCAAATGAGTCCACTAGTGAAAACCAATAAAGCGTAACTACAAATGCACTTCTACAACTACCAGGTTCCAATAAAGTATATTAAATCATATAGTAGCACAATCAAATAAACTTTTCGAGAATATGAGCCAAACCTGGAGACAACAGATTGTATCTTTTCTCTGATGTCAAAACTTGAACAGCGAGAATCTGGTTGATATCTGCAATCTGATATGAAAAATAAAATCCTATCAGACACTAGACGCATGAAACGAGTAGACTTTCACTTCTACCATATATGTACATACCCATCCAAGATGTTGCAGCACCAAATCTTGATCAGATGACTCCTCAAGAATCCTTGAAGCCTCACTTGCAGCAGCTTCCTTAACAGAGATACCATTTATGGAGGCATCATGTGAGTCATTCTCCCCAGCAGGATTTTTCCAATAGCCCAATGAATAGTTTCTGGCCAAAAGACGCCAGATGGCAACAGCCTTAGAACTCATCCCTTTACTTGCATAAAGGAAGGCTAGCGTCCTTAAGTGCCCAGAATCATTCAGTAAAGTTTCTAACTCCTCCTGCACCGCCCATTGAAGTTGTACAGTCATCCTTCAAGCAGGCTCCTGACTGACCTCTCCGCTTTAAATTACATTCGAATCCTAAGATTCCGCTGTTTACCAAAAAGTGCACATGGTGCATTGTCTTGAGGCCTATATACAAACTTAAAGTTGACCACAACTAACAAAATAACGCACTATGTTTAAACTCCAACACCAACTGGGAGTCTATAAGATTCGAATTATCAAAAGGTTCAAATATCAGCTGCTAAAACCCTTAAGAGACGCTTCCAGTGAAATTATATCTTTATGCAGTTAAATACCAAACAGGTAGTTGAAAAGATCATCACTTCTTTTCCCAAATAGAGAAATAAATATTGCTTCCTTTTTAATTTGGACTATTCATGTTTATATTTTTTTTCTGTATTGGGTTGTTTCTCATGTTAATTTCATAAATGAGGAGAGCATAATAACATAGGTCAACTCAGTGATCAGATATATGTATCACTGAACGAACCAATTCTTTTCATGGAATGCTCATGTTCTGGAATCAGAAAATGTTGCAATAGCAAGAGAGCACAGTCAAGCCTAGAGATTGTACGCCAGTTCCTTTTTATGGGCCAAACCGGAGTCCAGATAGCATAAGACTATAGGTATATGAATACCTTAAGCAGTACAAAGCGGTGCCTATATTAACTTAATAAAGCAAAGANTGAAAATGTTGCAATAGCAAGAGAGCACAGTCAAGCCTGGAGATTGTACGCCAGTTCCTTTTTATGGGCCAAACCGGAGTCCAGATAGCATAAGACTATAGGCATATGAATACCTTAAGCAGTACAAAGCGGTGCCTATATTAACTTAATAAAGCAAAGATAAGGTAGTACATACCACTATGCAATGGTTCTCTGAAGATGCAAGTCTTTCCATGTCATCCACACAATTTAGGGCTCTATATAGGTACATCAACAGAGTGTCAACTCCCTCTCTCACAGAAGGATTCAAATCTTTTTCACGAGAGGCTTGTAGATACCTGTTATAACCGAGTGTGATCGAGAGAAGGACGGGAGTTCAGTCTCATTGGACCACTAAATAAGACAAACTAATTTTAAAACAGATGTATTCTGTACTCTTTTTTGCAAGGATATCTTGTCCTCAAGATCGTATGTTGTTCTAGACCTTCTTCTGTATAAAAACTCTTCTTTCATCAAGAAAAAGAAAACAGGTATACAACTGCTAAACATCTAAACTGTTTTGGTGCAGATGCTTAAATATAGGATTATCTTGAACTTTTAACTCCCTTCCCCCCTCCCCGACTTCATGCCTCTATGTTAGGGAAAACATGAGAAAAGGCATACATCAAATAACAACCAAAGGGAAATCATATAAACCTGATGATATTTTTGATCGCTGACTCCAATAAATCAGCTCTACTCGGTGGATTCAAGAGAAACTCATCATCCACTGCAGTCTCTACTCCAGCTTTTTTAAGAAAAGCAGCTCTTTGAATAGAAACCAACCCATCGTCTACAACTTTTTCAAGAGGTTCGGGGGGAGGATGCAAACCCCAGTAACGGTTTCTTGGAACCTAAAATAAAAGATCCATTTAACACTATTCAACTTTCATGAACATCGAAACAAAATAACTAATGGGTACTAATTAGACAAAGCAAGTTAAACAACAAATGAGTTGGTCATTTTCATTACCATCACATCCATGTGGTATGAGTATGGGCATACTCATGAAAATTCAGTAGAATTATTAAGTTCTAACAGCCATAGCATCTTAGTTTATGTCTCTTTTATTTTTATTCTTACTCTTATTCTTATGATTGAATATTTCGCAATTAAAAATGCGACAAGTAGACACCTCCGTTATAAGGAAAACTTAAGCTTAAATGAAGAGCTCAAAACACTGAAGAAGTAGGAACGCATTTTAATTTCTTTCAAGGACAATGAGGACATATTGGTGCAGGCCTCCTTTCCATGGGACTAAGACCAATATAAACTTAAAAAAGGCCAAATGTGGGTTCTTCGAAGCTTTGGTTAGGTGAAATCAGTCATCATGTACTACAGAATGAGAATTTGTTAACATCAAGCTTAATCCCATAGTCATTTCTTGTCCGGGCTCTATTATGGGAGATGGTGTTAAAGCAATGGTGACTGCATTTCGNGTAGGAACGCATTTTAATTTCTTTCAAGGACAATGAGGACATATTGGTGCAGGCCTCCTTTCCATGGGACTAAGACCAAGATAAACTTAAAAAAGGCCAAATGTGGGTTCTTCGAAGCTTTTGTTAGGTGAAATCAGTCATCATGTACTACAGAATGAGAATTTGTTAACATCAAGCTTAATCCCATAGTCACTTCTTGTCCGGGCTCTATTATGGGAGATGGTGTTAAAGCAATGGTGACTGCATTTCGAGAATGAAAATAAAGTAATAGAAGAGCACAAACTCTTCTCACTAGCAGTCTTTAAGTGATGTTCTTCGAAATTCTACTAAGAACCCAAGTAAGGGTACAATGTTGGCTTGAGATGTCAAAACGAATAAAATCTATAAAACAAACAAATAAAATATACTTGGTCTGGATTTCAGCAGTCAAAAGAGCTATAAATTTTACACAATTTATTGCGGATTTCTTGTCCATCAAGTACATTTTTCCGATCTATTTGCCGAAAGTTCTTTGTTTCCTATCCAAAACAATTAAAGGAAAGAAATATAAGAGAAAAGGAGAGCTGTGTAGGAAGCATCTGAGAAAATAAAAAGACAAAAAAGGGAAGAAAAAAAAAACTTGCTCATGAGGGCTTGCATGAAATCCTTACTCAAACCAACAGGATTTACACTAATTTGACAACCGTGAAAAACCATTTAAGGTGTATCCTTAAATTCATATAAAAAAGTTAAATTATGCAGCAAGGAGTGCCTAAATCAAACATTAACCTCAATTGAAAAAAAAAAACAAAAGAAAGAAAAAATATAACCCAAGATGACTCAATTTTAATCAAGAGAAAAAGCTCCAAAGTTGATGGCCTGGGCTGCAGAATGAGAAAAATAAGGGAACTACATTACCCCGCAAAAAAACTTTATGCGAAGACTCAGAAAATCTTAACCAAGAATAGGAAACAACAAATCCCNCAAAAGAAAGAAAAAATATAACCCAAGATGACTCAATTTTAATCAAGAGAGAAAGCTCCAAAGTTGATGGCCTGGGCTGCAGAATGAGAAAAATAAGGGAACTACATTACCCCGCAAAAACTTTGTGAAAACTTTATGCGAAGACTCAGAAAATCTTAACCAAGAATAGGAAACAACAAATCCCAAAGCCAAACAAACAAATACTTGAACAGCAACCAATCTTAATACATGAAATGGCAGCAGTACACTCAGACCAAAAATTATTGACTCGTGAACTAGCAACAACGTTGTCTAACCTTCTAGTCACTGCTGATCATAAGAAGTTAAAAACTGCCCAAAGCCAAAACCATAAAATTGAAGAAGGCAAAAACACTACACTATGCAGTCTGTTACTCAACCCACAACACACAACTAGGCTGAAAACTACACATTAAGATTGGTATTAGCCAGATCTAATCTGTCAAATTCAAAAACATGTTACAATAAGATAATCGGCAACACAGGTAACAGCTCTGTAACCATTGAATAAGCATTCTTTAGCTTAGTATTAGAACAGAGAAATACAAGCATATGGGATTGAAAGAAATAAGCATATTGGTTACATACCATAAGCGACCAACGATTTGGGTCTCGCGTGATGAATGGGAAAACTTCAGAAGGCTGCATAGTTTCTGACAGCATGAAGTGATCTACTGCTTCCTTAAAATGCATGTCAAACAACAAGAGAAATCCCACTTGCGCATGGACAAAGGAAAGCATTTCTTTTGTCAGTTCACCTTCACTTTGAAGTTCCTCAACCAATGAGATGGCCTCCTTAAAGCTCTTCTTTCGCAACAGGTATTTAATTTGTTCCTCTGACGGTACTTTCCGATAGCAAATAACCTGGCATCAAACATGAACCAGGATAATTTTTCAGGCATTCTAGCAACCTAAGTATGCATCCCAATGTATATTGATCATTACAGATCAACTGTCAAGCTCTTGTAATCTTTACAAGCTATCTCTGGTAAAAATGCAGAATTTGTGTATAAGTACAGAAAGAAAAGATTGAAAAAAGGTTATGGGTGAATGAAGGGCTAACTGCCACTCCCCTCCAACGAAAAGGGATAACGAAACCCAAACCGCAGGGACTGTGCAGCCACGCAGACCAAGGGTATAGAAACCAAAAGAATACAAAAATATCACAATGAAATGGTAACACTGAATATTAAAATCCATTATTTATATAACATTGCCAAAAGATCAAGTGACACCAAAATATCTCTAGGTCTATCATACCTTGGTTGGTGTTGCCACTGCAACAAGTTTCCCATTCCCATCTTCCTCATCTCTTACAATACACGAACCTACTCCTTCCCCGGCAAAAGAAACCATTTGAATACAGTTCCCTGATTTCTTGTGATACAACTCAATATTCCCATTCCTCACAACCACCACACTGGAACCTATCTCCGCCACAGAATCCGGAGCACGACGGAACACCAAGCTCCCACCCACTGGTTGCCCCTCTGCATTAACGATAACTCCCACGTTATCAACTAACAAAAGAACATTATATTCTTTCAACAACAACTTCAGCCTTGGGGGGCTGGACAAATCCGGCAGAGAAAATATCAAACCACTTTGCCCCGTAACACACGAATACAAACTATACCCAATAAAGCTACCAACTATTATAGAATCATCAATCCAAACCATGGTCTTGACCCCTTCCACACAAGGAATTTCCTTCAAAATGACAATAGTCCCACCAATGTTATCACGATTTCGATCAATCCTTCCAACACCAACATCCAAAACAACCTCCAGCAGCAGGATTTTTTTCCCAACAACAACAGCGAAAACACAATTATCATCTCTAATTAACAACTCCGATGATTCTGATTGGTTGACCTTTACACCATTTGATCTAATCCCACTTCCAAATTTATCCAAAAATCGCTGACCCGAAACCTCCGACGCTGAACTGACACCATTACCTCCATTTCTGACCACCGATTCGCCACTCCGAAATCTCCTAGCAACAACACTAACTCCTCTAACAGAACTCAACTTCTTCACTGGTTGTAGTAAAAGTGAGTCAACCAAAAACATAGACCCATCAGTAACCACTAGCACTGTCCCAATATGACTGATCACCTGAATTGAATCTACAGGAAAAACATTGACCGACACAGATCGAATAACGGAGAGATTTNCACAGAACTCAACTTCTTCACTGGTTGTAGTAAAAGTGAGTCAACCAAAAACATAGACCCATCAGTAACCACTAGCACTGTCCCATTATGACTGATCACATGAATTGAATCTACAGGAAAAACATTGACCGACACAGATCGAATAACGGAGAGATTTCTTTGCTTGGAACTGGAGGAATTGTCTACAAGGGTAGGGTTTTTGCGAGGTGAATTGGAACCAGTGTTTAGAGAGAGTAAGAGAAGGGTACCNTTCTTTGCTTGGAACTGGAGGAATTGTCTACAAGGGTAGGGTTTTTGCGAGGTGAATTGGAACCAGTGTTTAGAGAGAGTAAGAGAAGGGTACCCGAGTTGGTGCCGAGGTAAATTAGGTATTCAGAATCGGATATTGTGGAGATTGCGAGAGATCGAATGGGAGAGTTTGAGGCTGAGGAGTTGGAGACATTGAAGTCTGCGAATGGTTCGAGTACTGTTCGAGTCCTGGGTTCGAGCTTGGCCATGGGTAAAGCAGTACAGTTAGGAAAATTTAGGGCTTCGAATAGAGCACGAACTACATTGACGATGAAGGACCGAAGCAGATGCAGTCGAGAGAGAGAGACACAGAGAGAATTAAGAGAGATGAGTACAAGAAACAAAAAGGGAAGAATTAGGCCAAGAAGTTTGTCATTTAATTATATATTTAAAATATTACATATAAATTCTTTAATGTTTATACACGCAGAACCCTCGCGCCCCTGCTGTTAGGGTGTTCAAATCTCTAATTGGCCGTAATTTTTTACTCTACATGATCCGAGCTGACTCGACCTTATTGAACGGTTAACTGTAAAATTTAGATAGAAATGTAAAAATNGATCCGAGCTGACTCGACCTTATTGAACGGTTAACTGTAAAATTTAGATAGAAATATAAAAATATTTTTAATTTTTTGATTAAATCGAGTAAGAATACGAAATACTCATCAATTTTTATATTTCTATCATACCCTACTTGCAAAAAATATATTTAATTTTTTTATATGTTTTTTAGTAATTATAAGAGTATTTGTGAAGTATAATTTATATTATAATATTATTATTATTGTNTATATTTTTTTTAGTAATTATAAGAGTATTTGTGAAGTATAATTTATATTATAATATTATTATTATTATGAATGTTTGAGTTGCGAAAATATGGACTTATTTTTTGTGTAAGTTACATAATTTATAGTAAACTGGTGATTTATCGAAGCAATTATGATTTTAATATGTTTTATATGGTTTAAACTTAAAATAATTGTTATTGTATTTGTGTAATAATTATGATGGATTGATGTTCATACTTTCTTATATTTTATTGTAATTGTTGTTGTACTTGTTTTAGATTTTAATGTAATTGATTTATTGTGTTATTAAATTGATGCATATTATTTAATTAAATTATTAAAATGATCTAAAAATTAATACCTACAAAAGTATGTACCCGACTTCTTACTTGATTAATCGGGTAGGAATACCACACCTGATTGAGTAGGTTAGGCTAAAAAAAAAATTATTCCGTAAAATATCGGGTAGAAAAACGGAAGACTATATTTCCTAGAATAGAGTGAACACCCCGACCTGCCATTAGTATATATGTCAATAAATTACAATTAGACTCTCTAAAATTTGTACATATATAATATTTGGGCTCCTTAAGTTTAAAATGTTATACTTAAATAAAAAATACTACAATCAAAGATAGAACATCAAATATTTTAAATTTAATAACTAAAATTCATGTTCTATTTTATCATTTATTGAAATAAAATTAAAAATAAAAATATAATTTTTTTCTTAAAAAATCGTAATTAGTATATAATTATATTATATATTTAAATAAAACTAAAAAATCAAACAAGGAATCTAAGCCATTCATAATAGAACATAAACTTTACAACCAAAATTCTTGTTTTATTATGTTATTTATTGAAATAAAATAAAAATCCATTTTTTCTTAAAAAATTATAATTAATAAACAATTATACTATCTATTAGAATAAGACTAAAAAATCAAATAAGAGATCAAACTATAATAGACACAACATTTTCTAATTTTAATTGAAATAATTTGATAGTTTTATTTGATCGTTTAAATGGTCAAATTAAGTTTCAATAGATAGTATAATTGTATATTAATTATAATTTTTTTAAAAAATTAAATTTTATTTCAATAAATATCATAATAGAAAATGAATTTTCATTATAAAATTTAAAATATTTGATATTCTATCTTTGATTGAAGTATTTTTAATTTAAGTATAACATTTAAAACTTGAGAGGTCTCAGTATTAACGTCTATAAATTTTAGGGGGTCTAAATGTAATTTACTAACAAATGTAATAGACATTGATGGCAGCAATGATTTAAGTGTTATGCACTTGCAAATTTCAAAGAATCTGTGTGTATTATTTCAAAATTTAAGGGCATGGATGATTGGTGTAATTCTCCCAAACAAAAAGGATAAATTGCAAATCACCCTTAAAAGTAATACTTTGTGCACACGTGTGTATTGTTATATTATATATCGATCATTTTGAATTTTACATATTGTATATTGCAATACTTATCATTTTTACCCAAAAAAGTGATTTCATATATCATGTTATTGACGTTGAAGCTAAAAAATCAATATTTTGCTTAAGTGTTTAAATGATTAAAAATCTTTTAGCACTTCCTTACGCTCATAATGGTCAAATTAAACCAAAAGAATAATCGACAATAATTCAAGCTTTTCAGTGTGAGATGACATTATTGTATTTGAGTAATCGGTAAACCTTCAACCATATCTAAAAAAATTGATATTTTTTGTGTTTTGGAGGTCATTTACGACTGCAGAAGTTGTATATATGACTCACATTAAAACTGAATGAAAAAAAAAAACACAAAATGATCCATAAAAATAAAAAAAATCATTCATGAAGTTCATAACTTATGATCCTTTTGCAATCAATCATTTTATGAAACTTTCAAAATTTGGTTTCAACATATATCTAAGGACTAATTTTTTGTTATAGAATATGTTTGACAATAATGTTCATATCATCTAACAACGATACAACCGCATCTTCCAGGCTAATTTTACTTTCAAATGAAATTTCAATCAATTCATCAATCGAATTATCAGCAACTGGAAGTTCTTTGTTGACTCAATGCGTATTGAGAGAGCCGTTATTTTTCAATCAAATTCTCCATGTAAGTTCCTCTTGTATGTATACAAAAAGATTCAGATGTAAATGCAAAGCAATGACCAATAATATCTGTCATTCAACTTATGAGAGAAATTACCATAGGTGTGTGTTGTGGCATATTGTACTATTAAAAAAATATCTTTACACATGACAAACTTAAGAAGAAGAAGAAGGCTATTCTTCTAATATCAGTCTTTGGAGCTGATCTCTCAATTAGAAATGGACTTAAAATTCTCAGCTTAGTGCATAAATCCAGACCAATAGAAGCAAAAGCAAAGATTAAAATATTTTCAGATACATGAACTGCACCATCATAAGCATGTTATAGTAAGCTATCGGCATCCAGCTTCAGAGGTGGTCCACCGTCCTGGCTAGACAAGCCTACATTGCAAGTGCAACTAATAGATTAAGACCATATAGCCCAGCCTTCAGACTGTAGCCCTTTGTCAAATGACAATCAATCAAGCATCAATATTTTATTTTGTTATGTAGTTTCGATCTTAGTAATAAAAATATTTGGAAGGTGTTGATCTAATACTGTGAATCAATTTCATATTTTTGAGTTGTTGTTTGATAACCAATCATATGAAAATTTCCAACTAACATCTAAAAATCATCTATAGTTTTACATTAAAAAACCAAAACTCACGTTGTAGAGCATTCCATAGCATGAGTTAAGTATTGAATATGGAACTTTAATTATATGCTACCAAAAACAAAATGATAACACATGCTTCACTGCATGAAGGAAGAATAATAAGAATATCCAACTCACTATAACATACTTCAAAGAGAGAATCAAGTCAAGAAATCCATTCTCTAACCTTAGAGCCAACCAAATGGTAAAACTATGGAGATATGAAATGCGACTTTAATGTTCTAAAAGAGCTCACTATCAAGAAATACCTAGCACATAATACACGTGTATCATATTGAAATGCTATTCAGTATACTTATTCAACAACATCATGATCCAACAAGAAAACAATCCTATTTAATGGAAACATACTCAAACAATGTTGAGGGAACATAAACAAAATGATTCCAGACTAATAAGAAAGCAACATATGTCCTAGGGTGAACTATCAAACCAATACATATAGAACATCTGTTTAATCGATATATTGTGTAATCAACAAAAGCATCAACATCTATAACATAAAACAGGATGACTTCAACAAACTGATCGTACGGTCACAATTCATTTCATCCAACGGTCACAGATCTTCACATTTCCCCCCAAATTCATTATTTTTAACCCACAAATTTATTCAAAAATCTGATCTCTCAATCACTTCATCTGCCAGCAGTCACTTTTTTTCCTTGGTACAATGACAAAAATAGCTTGGACATCATTTTTTTTCCCCAACCCTTCTGTCAAACGTATCTTTCACAGCCCATCTCATTCTCTGTCTATATCTATTTATTCTTCCCAGCAACACCACCATCACCGCCGAAGTCAGCAACACCACCACCACCCCCAAGCCTTCTTCAAATGCCATCTCACACACACACACTCTCTCTCTCTATCTCTCTCCCTCTATTTCTTCTTACCACCATCCATCGCCGACGTCAGCAACACCACCACCGCCCCAGTGACACCACCAGCAACACCGCACCGCCGCTGCTAACCCCTCTCAGGTATGCCTTATCTCTCTCTCTCTCTCTCACTCTCTCTCTCACACACGCACACACCCATCCTACCCCCGCCTCTTCCTTGCCCTCTTCTACACACTCATCACCCCCACACAAATCACACACACACACGCCCAACACAGACCCACCACACACCCAAAAGGGAATAAGTTGGCAGAAGGTGGATGATTTGATGTTGAAGAGAGACGCACCACACACCCACTCACCCGCCACTGCCATTGAAATTCACCCACAATTTACTTTGGTTGTTTTAGAGAGACTTCAAATTCACCCACGATTTACTTTGGTTGTTTAAGAGAGACTTCAAATCTCACGTCTAATGGTAGTCCTGTTCACCGACTCATCGAACAAGTGTAGTAATTTTTTCCTTGACAATATATATTTTTAGAGGATTAAAGTAAGTATGATTTTTTGAGGATTCAGTAGTAACTTTTTTTATTCAAATTTGTAATTTTTTCCTTGACAATATATTTTTTAGAGGATTAAAGTAAGTATGATTTTTTTAGAATTCAGTGGTAACTTTTTTTATTCAAATTTCTTTTTCTTTTTCTTTTTCTTTGTGCAACATTCTATTGATTACTAGCTGTGTTAGGGTTTGAAAACCCACATTATGGGTTTGTTTTACTTATTGGATTT